TAGTTTGGGTACAGCATTGCATGACTTCACAATTACCAGTTGAAATAGCACAGTTCCAAATAACAAAAAATGGCCTGGTCAGGAAGGGGGGAAAACCTTGAAGTGGTTAAGGGTAAATTCTGTGCACAAAAAAGGGGCATGGTTCCATGGGCAGGTTAATGGATGGACTTGAACATCTGTCCATTTTTTTGTAGCATTCACCATGCATTGTTTGGCATGGTGGCACTACATTGTTGACGGGCTTGCGGTGTGGTGGGGCAACGTTGGTTCTTTGTTGCTATTTAATGCATTTATTAACAATATACATCCATGGATACAGTTTAATATTGTTTATCACAAGGAAAGAGTATCATGTTTTAACCATTAGCCGCCCGGCCAATGGCCGTTTGGCGGCTTCAGAAGTGTCTCTCCGTTCCGGGTACACGCCATTTGGCGTGCTCCCGCACATGCGCCGTTTGCGCTAGTGCAGAGCGGCGCAGCAGTGCGATTTGTCATCAGCCGTGCACCTCGGACATGGCCGATGACAGATCCGAGTACCGGCTCCCGTTGCCGGTACCATGTGACCTGTTGTGACCAATCACAGCAGGTCACATGACAGTTGTATACAATGGATGGCTTCATTCATGATGCCATCCATTGTATACTAGTGCCTAGCTGTGAATGGTCACAGCTAATTGCACATGTCATGTGATTAGCTGTGACCAAATCACAGCTAAGCACAAAAAAAAAAAAAAAAAAAGCTGAATGAATCGATTTCATTCAGGTAAATGCTTGCTTATAGCAAAGTAATTCTTTGCTATAAGCAAATTGTGTAAAAAAAAAAAAAAAAAAAAATACTGATCACTTCCCCAAAGTAGTACATGTTACTATGGTAACATTGTACTATTTTGGTCATAGTAAAATATGAAAAAAAATCTTAAAAAAAATAAAACAAAATGTAATAAAAAATTAAATATAATAAAAAAATTAAAACAAAATATATATATATATTTTTTTCATACTGTCAAGTCAGTGTCCTGTTCACCGCCATGCCAGTTATATGATGACGCTGTACTGCACTGGTGACAGTATGTAAAAAAAAAAATAGTGAAAATAATTTTTTTCATTTTTTCATTTTCCGAAAAATTATGACAAAAAAATACAACTTCAAAAAACTCGCCATTCCTCTTATGAAGTACGTCGGACTGTCTACTCTGCAAAAAGGGGTCATTTGGGGATATCTGTACTATTCTGACATTCTTGGACCTCAAGAAATTAGATTGGCCGTCAGTTACCGTATTTTCCGGCGTATAAGACGACTTTTCAACCCTGAAAATCTTCTGAAAAGTCGTGGGGGGTCATCTTTATACGCCGGTGCGAGCCGGGCCGAGCGGACCCCCCGCGAAAATCGAGCGGCCGAACTTGAAGAAGGAGCAGCCGCTCCTCTCCCCCACTGACTCTAACGATGGGGCACTGTTCCTCCCCCACTGACACCAACGATGAGGCACTGTTCCTCCCCCACTGACACCAACGATGAGGCACTGTTCTCCCCACTGATACCAATGATGGGGCACTATTCCTCTCCCCCACTGACACCAATGATGAGGCACTATTCCACCCCCACTGACACCAATGATGGGGCACTATTCCTCCCCCCACTGACACCAATGATGGGACACTATTCCACCCCCCACTGACACCAATGATGGGGCACTATTCCTTCCACTGACACCAATGATGGGGCACTATTCCTCCCACTGACACCAATGATGGGGCACTATTCCCCCCACTGACACCAATGATGGGGCACTATTCCTCCCACTGACACCAATGATGGGGCACTATTCCTCCCACTGATTCCAACGATGGGGCACTACTTCTGCTCCCCACTGACACCAATGATGGGGCACTAGTCCTCCTCCCCACTGACACCAACGATGGGGCACTATTCTCCCCACTGACACCAATGATGGGACACTATTCCTCCACTGATACCAATGATGGGGCACTATTCCTCCCACTGATACTAATGATGGGACACTATTCCTCCCACTGATATCAATGATGGGACACTATTCCTCCCCCACTGATACCAATTGGGACACTATTCCTCCCACTGATACCAAATGATGGGACACTATTCCTCCCACTGACACCAATGATGGGCACTATTCCTCCCACTGATACCAATGATGGGGCTTTGACACCAATGATGGGGCACGATTCTTCCCACTGACACCAATGATGGGGCACTATTCCTCCCACTGACTAATGATGGGGCACTATTCCTCCCACTGACTAATGATGGGGCACTATTCCTCACACACTGACACTAATGATGGGGCACCATCATTGGTGTCAGTGGGAGGAATAGTTCCCATCATTGGTATCAGTGGGAGGAATAGTGCCCCATCATTGGTGTTAGTGGGAGGAGGAGTGCCTCATCATTGGTGTCAGTGGGAGGAATTAGCACCCCATCATTGAATACCATACTGAAATAGCATACCATATTGAAATCAAATCTGATGTTTTTTCATTTTTATTTGGTGTGTGTTGGAAGAGGGGTAGTCTTATACGGCGAATATAGCTCAAACCCTATATTTTAACAGGAAAAGTAGGGGGTCGTCTTATACGCCCAGTCGTCTTATACGCCGGAAAATACGGTACTTCAGGATTGATCAATTTTCAGATCTATACCATAGTTTGTGAAACTCTATAACTTTCCTAAAAACTAAAAAATACATCCTAATTTGGGTTTATTTTCACCAATAGACATGTAGCAGAATACATCTCGGCCTAAATTTATGAAGAACAATTATTTATTTGTAAACTTTTATTTTTTTTTGTTAATTTAGCAAAAAAATAAAACCCCAGGGGAAATACCACCAAAAGAAAGCTCTAGTTGTGTGAAGAAAATGATAACATTTTAGTTTGGGTACAGTGTTGTATGACCGCGCAATTGTCATTCAAAGTGTGAGAGCGCTGAAACCTGAAAAATGGCCTGGGCAGGAAGGTGTAAAATTGCACGGTATTGAAACGGTTAAATACCATGATGATACATAAAGGTCCAAATTGGTCATGGATCTATACACAAAAACAACTGTTCAGGTTTATTTTCTTACTTTTGACAGCATTCATCCACCCACTTTTTAAAATATTTTACTAAAAGCCAATTTATTAGAATTGACCAGAGATGATGGACATCTGGAATTGTGAAATTTAGAAAGGCTGAAATAGAAAAAGAGTTCCTAGATAGAGGTTACCCCTCTTAAACAAGTTAGACTTGATTCAAGTGGTGATGTCTTGGGGGGGGGGGGGGAGGAGAAAAGGAAGGGGAAACATTAAAAGGATTCCTTTTGTATGCAAGTTTCATGGTTTTTCACAGCAAGTCCTTGTGTGTTAGGCCCATTGGCATATCCTCAGGACAGCATTTCCAAATATAGAGGAAAGCTTGAGTGTGCATATACTGGCTTTTAGATGTAATGGGATGATCAGAGATCAGGTGGTATATGCTGAATGAGTTGGCCATGGTGCCCCCACTTGGCTTTTGTAGGACCAATTAGCCAATTAGAAAAGGATCTCTCTCTTGTTTGTCTCTGAATGTGGTAACTTGATTAAAGATGATACCTTTTGTAATACTGGTGGAACAAAGAGCTGTAAGATTAAGCATCAGCCTACCTATCAGAGAAAATACACAATATATTTATTAAGTTGTCCTTGTAAGTTTTTTGTTTGTTGGGGAAACTACCCCAAAATAAGATGGCTAGGGTATCCTAACATACAATTAAAAAATCATCAATTAAAATGAAACAGACAGAGCTTCCATTTCTGAGACATTTGTTGTATGCCGGACACTGGGACAGAGATCTATGATTTATGGTAATATTGACCTTGTTGTCAGATCTTGATGATGTGGGGATCATATTGCCTCTTAGGGAGGTTTATTGGATACATCTGTTAGATACTTTGTTTTCCCATGATTACTAAGAATTGTTTAATTTTACTGATGTTATTGCATGTGTTTTTTAAGTGAAAAGTTCCTGCATAATGATCAGTAAAATGTACCTGCGTATAGATGCATTCAAACGAGTGAAGACGTGTAAAGATGTGTATGTGTACATCACTTGTTTTCATGGTAATTTATTTTTCCCCATTGTTTACATATAACTTACACGCGTACAAATGCATATACATGAGTCTACACACATGAGTGTAAGCACGTAAATCACATCTTGTTAGATGTAGACTTTTAGATTCTGTGTTACAGATTTGAACACAACTCGTTGTTTACGCACCTGTGCGAAGGGCTCAAAAGCACTCTGCGCTGCAATCGCTTGCTTGTTATTTATTTTTTGGCAATCTTCAGGGATTTACTATGTTGTGTGCATAAAAGAAAAAGGATTGATTTGTGTTGTACCATACACCCATATATATATATATATATATATATATATATATATACACATATATATACACTTTATTGCCAAAAGTATTGGGACACCTGCCTTTATACACACATGCACTTTAATGGCTTCCCAGTCTTAGTCTGTAAGGTTCAATATTGAGTTGGCCACCCTTTTCAGCTATAACAGCTTCAACTCTTCTGGGAAGGCTGTCCGCAAGGTTTAGGAGTGTGTCTATGGGAATATTTGACCATTCTTCCAGAAGCGCATTTGTTAAGGTTAGGCACTGACAAGAAGGCCTGGCTCACAGTATCTGATCTAATTCATTCCAAAGGTGTTTCTATTGGGTTGAGGTCAGGACTCTGTGCAGGCCAGTCAAGTTTCAACACCCCAAACTCGCTCATCCATGCCTTTATGGACCTTGCTTTGTGCACTGGTGCGCAGTCATGTTGGAACAGGAAGGGGCCATCCCCAAACTGTTCCCACAAAGTTGGAAGCATGAAATTGTCCAAAATGTCTTGGTATGCTGACTCCCTAAGAGTTCCCTTCACTGGAACTAAGGGTCCAAGCCCAACCCCTGAGAAACAACCCCACACCATAATTCCCCTCCACCAAACTTTACACTTGGCACAATGCAGTCAGGCAAGTACCGTTCTCCTGGCAACAGCCAAACCCGGACATGTCCATTGGATTGCCAGAAGCGTGATTCGTCACTCCAGAGAACGTCTCCACTGCTCTAGAGTCCAGTGGCGGCATGCTTTACACCACTGCATCTGACGCTTTACATTGCACTTAGTTATGTAAGGCTTGGATGCAGCTGCTTGGCCATGGAAACCCATTCCATGAAGCTCTCTATGCACTGTTGTTGTGCCAATCTGAATACCATACAAAGCTTGCAGGTCTTTAGCTATTGATTTTGCCGACAGTTATTATTATTATTATACAGTATTTATATAGCGCTAAAAGGTTTGCTCAGCGCTGAACATTGACAGTTGGCGACTTCTGCTCACTGTGTGCTTCAGCATACACTGACCTCGTTCTGTCATTGCCAGTTGCTTCCACTTTCTTATAATACCACTAACAATTGACAGTAATATATTTAGTTGCAAGGAAATTTCACTGGTGGACTTATTGCACAGGTTGCAACCTATCACGGTACCACGCTTGAATTCACTGACTGAGCTCCTGAGAGCGACCCATTCTTTCACAATTGTTTGTAGAAGTAGTCTTCATGCCTAGGTGCTTGATTGTATACACATGTGGCCATAGAGGTGATTGGAACATCCGAATCCTATGATTTTGAGGGGTGTCCCAATACTTTTGACAATATAGAGTATATATACTGTATATATATACTGTATGTATACTCTATATTGTCAAAAGTATTGTATATATATTTATATTGCAAAACAGAAGGTTGCAACAGTAACAGCAGCAGTTTTAAAAAATTGCATGTTCATATATATTATATAATTTATAGAGATATAAATGTAATTTAAAAATACATTTTACATAATTTAGAAGAAAAATCTTATACATACACAGATCACCAGGTGGTGCTATGGTTTAACTTCCAATGTGGCTACAAATGTCTACCCACAAAAAAAGTATTTGATTCCTAAAAATCTTTTTTTTTTTCTTTTAGTGGGTGGGGTTACATCATACAACAAAAGCAAGAGGAAACGACTGAATGTTGTCACACATCCATCTGCAACATACACCTGTAGGTGCATATAGTATATGATATATACATTGCAAACAAGTCACAAGTCAAGAGTCAAGAAGTCAAGAAGATGCTTTTTGTCTGCTTCATACTCATCTTATATCTGTGTGAGTAGAAAAGCTATAAATGGGAGTTCATTCTAACAAAGAAATTAAATGTTTGATATTTTCTATATTAGAATTCATATTCACCCTGTATTTTTGTATTCATTCATTATTTTTCAGGCTCTTTCTGCAGCTCTAACATAATACAGAAGTCCTCATTACAGACTTCAGTAGGAAATGACTTGAATATCACTTGTGAGCATGATGCCCTTTTCGGAAATGAATACATCCATTGGTATAGGTTATCTGCTGGTCATTGGCCAATCCATCTAATTGGAGACTTTAAGGATCATGAGACAGCAGACAAGAGGTATAAACTGACCATTGGTGATGGCAAAAAGTCCAACGTACTCCTCATACGAGATATCAGATCTGAAGACAGTGCTGTGTATTTATGTGCTAAGAGTGACACAGAGCTACAAGTGTATTTCCTGCCTGTACAATATATCAGAATGCAACTCACTGCAAGTTATGGTGGATAAACAGAAGCTAAGATATATATTTTATTTCTCATGGATTGACATAGTATGCACTTTAGTGATTAGAGCCTTAGTGAATATGTTAGCAGGCTTTACACATAACTCCTTGAGACGGTTTGGAGAATGAGGGGGGCAGTAGATTTTTAGAGGAAAAACTAAAGAGCTGTGGAGCCAGAATTAGTAGAATTCATAGTTTAAAGAATGACCTTGGATTCCAGCAGAACACCCTTAATTTACCTTTAATGAACTTAACCCATTTTCAGCCACTGCAAGATGAACTTTACTAACATAGATAACTATCTGTGTGTGTCAAGGAGGGAGGGGGTTATGCTGGGGGAAGGTATATTTCTGTTGGTTGGCATGTGTGTTGGAGAGAGGGAGGAGAATTTTTGCTGGTTGAATGAAGAAGATTTTAGCTGGGGGGAGGCTGGGTAAAAACATTTTGCTGAGGGTTGGTGGAGGAATGAGAAAGATTTTTGTGGGTTTTTGGGTGAGTGGGATTTTTGCTTGGGACAAAGAAGAAATTGTTTGCCTTATGTTGTCTGGCTTTCCATTTGTTGTCTGCATATTGTTGAAATTGCCCACAAGTGGGTGGGGTTAGCCACGTGGCAGAGATGAATGTGTTATTCTTCCTTAAATGTCAACCCAGTGACACTATGGGGTTTATTTATAAAGCTGGAGAGTCCTCAGACTCCTTCTGCATAGAAACCAATGTCTAACCTCAGCTTGTTCAATGAAGCTTTGGCAACAACTGGAAGCTGACTATGCAGAAGTGATGATTTTGCACTCTCCAGCTTTAGTAAATAAACCCCTATATATACAGGTACAAGGCAGTTCAAGAATTCAGGGCTTAAATACCAGGTTATGTCAATTTTTGGATGTATTTAGTGCATCCAAAGAGTGAAGGGTTAAACACATTTTCCTCAGCTGACTCCTGGCTGTAAAGTGAAAGTGAACAGGTGGCTTTATAGTCACCGAATCACTTTCACAGTGCTGGCAGTATTGACTTTCTCTTGATGGGACCTTCCCTGCATGGTCCCCAGGCTCTCCCTCTCTTACCAGGAGTCCACATCCACTGGCTTATTGGGACCACATCCACTGGCTTCAGGAGGCCAGGTAGGAGGAGACCGAGAAATATCCATTCCCCAGTCTACTCTGCTCTGAATGAAAGCCAAAGCGACAATGATTTTGTAACTTCTGGTTTCATAGTCTGTCTTTTCCTGGATAAAACAGACAGGAAAGCATCTAACCGAACAGATCTGTGCTTTGTCACATGCTTTCAGAGGGCAGGTGAGACACTGGTGTCTAATAAACCCCCAATATCTCCGCAAAGAGTACCTGTCACCTGCCCAATGCTATCGATCACTATAGTTACATAGTTAGTCTGGCTGAAAAAAGACAAAAGTCCATCTAGTTCAACCATAGAAAAAAAAAGTTATAATCCTATACCCACAGTTGATCCAGAGGAAGGCAAAAAACCCAGCAAAGCATGATCCAATTTGCTCCTGCTGGGAAAAAAATTCCTTCCTGATCCCCCGAGAGGCAATCGGATATTCCCTGCATCAACTTTACCTATGAATGTTAGTATCCAGTTATATTCTGTGTATCCAAGAAAGAATCCAGGCCTTGTTTAAAGCAATCCACTGAGCTGGCCAGAACCAACTCTTGAGGGAGTCTATTCCACATTTTCACAGCTCTTACTTGAAGAAACTTTCCATATTTGGAATTAAATTTCTTTTCCTCTAGACATAAAGAGTGCCCCCTTGTCCTCTGTGATGACCTCAGGGTGAATAGCTCTACACCGAGTTCACTATATGAACCATTGATATATTTATACATATTGATCATATCCTTCCTTAATCTCCTCTCTAAGAGAGAATAAATTCAGTTCCTCTAATCTTTGCTCATAGCTGAGCTCCTCCATTCCTTGTATCAGTTTAGTTGCCCTTCTCTGTACTATAGTTACATAGTTAGTCTGGCTGAAAATAGACAAAAGTCCATCAAGTTCAACCATAGAAAAAAAAAAAAAAAAAAAAAAAAAAAAAAACTCCCTTGTAACAGCAATAAAGGTATATTTAATTATTCAATCAATCAAGTTAAAACAAGTAAATGATAATGATTATAAAAAAAAAAAAAAAAAAAAAAAAAACCCTGTTGCCCTGCACATGCCCACAAAAGTAATCTTTCGCTCAGGGTAAGCACATGTATTTAAACTGTGATTGCACCACACATATGAGGTATTGCTGCAAATGTCAGAGTGAGTGCAATAATTCTAGTGTGAGCACATTCAATTTTAAGGCTTGGCATATTTGTATCTGTTTACTCAACACAACCCCATCTTTTACATTTTACAAAAAATGGGTATTATACTGTGTTTGTGTGCACTAAAATTAATTTGATTAGATTTTTCCTTGAAAATATGTGTTTAATGAACAGTCGCATAAATATTGTTCAACATAAAAAATACAACTACTATCTTTTTATTCTGCAAGGCCTCTGCTTTCAGAAAATATACTGTACAATATTGTAGGGGTTTTAAGTAAGTCCACATCCACATTACCAGGAGTCCACATCCACAGGCTTATTGGGACCACATCCACTGGCTTCAAGAGGCCAGGTAGGATGAGACCGAGAAATATCCATTCCCCAGTCTACTCTGCGCTGAATGAAAGCCAAAGCAAATGATTTTGTAACTTCTGGTTTCATAGTCTGTCTTTTCCTGGATAAAGTAAATGTAATGTAAAGTAATGTTATGGCCATAGCTACAGACTTTTACATGTGTGCAAAAACATGAAAAAATTGCTCTAGAGCAGAAGTGGTTAGGCATGTACCCATGAGGCTCCCTAGAGTTGGCTGCCTTGAAAATGTGTTGACCTAGACAGTGCAGTGCACAGGGTTGCACCAGATAAGAAACTGTAGAGGCTTATGGTGACCTTCCTCTAACTCCAGAGGTGTCTGCAAGCATTTTTAAAAGTGAAGTGCAGGTTAAAAAAAAAATAAATCTCACCTAGGTGGATGCAGCATCGGTCTGATGCTACATCTGTCCCCTGCTGGCTCTAAGACCAAGAACTGAGCAATCAAAGACCACTGATTGCTCAGTTCTCAGTTTTCAGTAAGCAAACAGCCGGTGACTGTCAGCCACTGCTCTCTGCTCTGCCCTTTAAGTGCTCACTGGAGTGCTGGGCTGTGGAGGGGGTGAGGTGATTGGCGTAGGCTCTCAGCAGCGCACTGAGAGCCAGCTGCCAATCAGGCATCTTTGTGGATCCCAACATTAAAGTCGGGATCCCTCCAGAGTCTGGACAGGCTCAGAGACATCATCCAACAGCAGACTTTAGCCTGCTGCCGGCTGAATCCGGGTCACAGGAGTGCAGAACTAAGTACACTCCTGAGGACACTGGAAAAGTAGGGCCAAAAAAAACTTTGGTCATACTTCTGCTTTAACTTGTCCTAAACCTAGGTCTACCACTCCTTCAAAAATGGGTCTTTGTCCCTGTATGAAAATTCCCACACTGTTGTCTTCACCTAAATGACCCAACCAGATCTATTTATAACCACTTTGAATCCAAGATAGTCACCTGAACCTCAAGAGAGCTCTGTGACACAGCGAAAAAGTTGTTCTTTCTCCAAAGTTCAAATCTATACAAGGCACTATCTATACCGGTACAAGGCAGTTCAAAAATGCAAGGCCTTCATAAAGGAGGATGCTCAAGATGTGCCTACTTAAGTGTGCACCCATGAGGTCTCCCAGAGCTGGCGTCCCCTGAAAGGGTGGTGTCCTATGGTGCCCTAGCCAGTGTGCAGGGTTGCGCCAGATAAGAAAACTGTAGTAAGTAATTTAGCAATCCTGCAATTGCTGCATCACCTCCTTGCCCTGTTAATTTGACTAAACACCAATGCCGCAACTTAGATTACCAGCAGCTACACCATGGGTGC